AAATATATAATTATTACAAAATAAATTAATTATTAAAATAAAATAAAACCAAAATAATTCCAATAAAAAAATAATAATAATAAAAGGTTTGGGTGTTACATAACCAGTCCTACCTTCACTAGTAACCTGTAATTATTTTAAAAAATTTTTAATTTTTCACAAAATACAAAATTATACAACATTAAATCTCAATTTATCGTAACGAAGATTAGGGTGAGGGATCCTTATCCGGATCAGTGTTTCGAAATGTCGAGTCATCTATTATGCCTCCTAACGAGTATGTAGTTCTCTGAATTTTTTCTGTGAAATTCAAAACACTTGTTACATATATAAAAATACCTCAAAAATCTAAAATTGGTGTACAAAACTCATTCCGGCCAATTTTGGAGTTCCGACACGGCGGTGTCGTCGTGCTCAAATCGCTAACTCCGCCACCCACAGCAACAGTTCACCTCAATCTGGCCGGTTTTGACTGATTTTGACCAACTTTGGCTGTATCCCTACAGAAAAATACGTTAGGGGCCTCGATTGATCGAAAAATCACAAAAAGAACTGAACCTATCGGCGGGGGGACTTCTGGGTGTGGCGGCTCCACTGGTCCTTTTTTGCGGCTAAGATTCTTTCTTCGACTACCCTGTATTGAAAGGGACGATGAACACAATAATTAAAAAATTACGTGAAACGAAAATCGAAAAATGACTCATCGAAAGGGTTTTGAATTTTTAGCTACGGCGGCTTTGTCGGGCTTTACCCAAGATTTTCGACTCACTCATCGTTCCTTTTGCTCCGATTTTGCCATAGAGTTACTCGAAATCGAATTTCGAATGAATATGGAAATTTTTTTTATCTTTTTTGGCGGTTGGCGATGGCTCCAGTGTGGCACCGGTCTACGGTTGGCCTCCTTCTCCAGCGTCTGATTCTTCTTCTACAACTGGACTAGCGACTAGGGTTTAGGTTCTCGTGTGATGCGAAATATTTATAACAATTCTGTATTAATATGCACCGTCCATCGCGATCGATCTCGTTCGTCCTATCGCGCTTAAGGAAGAAACAAATTTGAACTATTCATTACGATTAATTTCAACCGTCTGATCGTGCCTAATGAAAAAACATATCCAGGTCATCCACGCGCGTGGGATCGATCTTGGGCATCAAATCGCGGGGCACACGGATCGCCAGCGTGGCCTCCCACATGGCACCGACATCAGCGCACCTTGTCACACAAAGCGCTCTGGTTCATCAAGGCTGCTGACTGAATGATCTTACGTGGTTGAACTTTTTCTATTTGTACTTTGACCACATGTTTCTAATTTTTCTTTCAAAAACACCCTTATAACCCAAATTTTTATCCATTTTTTTCAAAATTATTTTCAATCTCATCTCTAATTCATTTTTCTTAAAATTTCACTTAAATAAAAATAAGATAAATTAATAATTAAAAAGAAAAAAAAATTTATCTCGAGTCATTTTTCGAGTCCCAGTATTACATTTAATTTATGAATTTATTTGCATTTAGGTTCTGGTTCTTTACACAAACCATTAAAGATCATCTTATTTTCAAAATTCAAACGCTATGAACTCATTTTCTTGCCCACCTTGTTTTCGAAGCCATTTTATTAATTAATTATTTTGTTAATTGATTAAATTATATTGAATACTTAAAAAATAGTGTAGTGCCCGGAAAGGGGCCGAAAAAAAAAAGCCACGTCGGCAGCCACGTCAGCAGGCCCGGTCAGCAGTCCCGGCCAACCGGGACCTGCCACGTGGCAAGACCACGTCGTTCCGGAACGGGCCACGTTGGCGATCCGCGTAGGCGCGATCGGACGGCCCAGATCAAGCGTGCGATCGGACGACCCAGATTCAATCAAAAACAGACGGCCCAGATTAAAACAAAATGGACGGCTGAGATCAAAAGGCAAAGGGTTATAAATAGAACCCCCACACCAGACCACAAACCCTAGCCGCCTGCCGCTCGCCGGAGAAGACGAACCAGAAGCCGGACGCCGCCACCCGCCACCGCACCGGGGAAATTTCCGATCGCCGATCGAGGTAAATTTCGTACCCCCGACTCGTTTTTCCACGCTGATTCCTCCTGTGGCCAAATCGGAGCCAAAATCCCTGCCAAACGGCCGGAATACACGGCCGAAGCCCAGCGGCGCCGCCGCGCCCCTTCTCGGTTTTTGTCTCCGATGAGGCCCTTCCCGGCCTCCGTTTGATGCAATTTTTATATCACCGTGATCACCATTCTTTTCTCTATAGGTTGACCGGAGTCGAATCACCAAAACACGAACCTCGCCAGAGAGCCGCCGCACCCGAGAGCACCGCTGCCGGTAAGCTCCGTTTTTCCGTGATTTTTTTGCCCCCCGAGGGCCCTAGGGTTGTTTTCTCGCAGGGACCGATGCGAGTATGGCCGAATTCAGCCAGAAACGGCCGAAAACAGCCAACCCGAGGCGAATCGCCGCCGCCAGCGGCGGTGCCGTCGCCGGAGCACGGCGGAGCCGCCGTGCCGGAGTTGCGATATTGGCCAAAATGGGCCCTGGGCCTAATTTGGGATTTTTTGGAACACGTGCAGGTACCAGTAGTGCGTTTCAGTTCCCCGAGAAAAATTCAGGGAAAATTAAGGACAGCCTGTAGGTGCACTGTGAAGCCGTATTCGGACCCCGAAACGTGTAAGGACCCCTCACCTTATTTCCTATCACGGTTTTAAAGTTCAATAAATGATAAAACGGTATTTCATGAATCAACGAATGTGTGAAATTGCTTAAGGTCGCTAATGGAGCCCAAGTCTAGTGTATTTGTCGGTTAACTGTTATTTGGCCTGTTTTACAGTTTTAAATGCAGCATGAGGTTCGATGTTTTCATTTTATAGTTTCGTGTGCATATTTTACTGTTTTATTGATTATGGATTAAATGACCGGGATATTGATGCTGTATGTTGTCTGTTTAGCATAAATTACTGTTTGCTTGCTTGTATGTGGATTAATGATGCTGACTGAGGAAAAAGAGAATGAAAAATTATGTAAATGGGTAATGGTATAATGTGGTCAGCCTGACTAGATATCCTGGGAGATGGTGGACGAACCGGGTCCGTAGGGAACCCTACCGGGATTGTGGTCTCCCAAACCGGACGGGGTATGGAGATCTTATGTGTTTTGGCGCCCATACCGGACGGGGTATGGGGACGGTCCGTTTCACCCTCATACCGGACGGGGTAATGAGGTCTATGTTTTGGCGCCCATACCGGACGGGGTATGGGGACGGCCCGTTTCACCCTCATATCGGACGGGGTAATGAGGTCTATGGTTTGGCGCCCATACCGGACGGGGTATGGGGGCGGCCCTGGAATGGATTTCAAGTGTTAAGGATTAACGGGTAGCGGGACCCCTATGGATCCCCATGGATACTAGTGGGCTGGTGAATCAGGAAAATATGTTGTGTAACGATTGAATTACGAAAAGTTTGATAGGTATTATGTTATACAGTTCATATATATGTTTTCATGATGATGATGATGTTATTGCTTTCAGATATTGTTTTATGAATTTCACCGAGGTAAGTGAATGGTAAAGGTTTTATTATTAATAAAAGGATTTGTTGTAAATTATGCTCCATTGGTCTTTTTGTGTTTTATACCTACCTTTACCTTCGTGACGGTGAGATATCGTGATGTCTTTACTGCGCTAGTGTAGCTCATTCCTTATTTAATCATTTCAGATCAAGAGGACATCGTTCCCGAGCCGGTTCCGCAGGAGGACGACGAAGGGGACGCCTAAAGACTCCCTAGTCACATTCGTAGTTTTTTACTTTCAAGTTTCTCCTTTAGGTAGTTTAATCTTTTATATTTTGTGAGCACGTTTTTGGTTTTAGTGTAAGGGATGTTATTCAAATTTTGACTTCGTTTCCGCATTTGATATTTATAATATAATTTCCATTTTAAATTTCCGGGGCTGCTACAAATAGTATAAAAATTAAATTAATAATATTATTATGTCTATTTTTTATTATTAGTTAATTAATTGATTAGAATTATTTTTTTAAAAAAATTAAATATGACCTAATTATTTTAATTTATTATGTTATAAATGAATAGAAACTAAAAGTTTATAATAAATGTTAAATTTGAAGGACTAACTTCATAATTTGCTTAATATTAAAAATTTAGCTCTATTAAAAACGAAAAACTATATCCACTCAAAGCAAAAAAAAAAAGCTATTAATAATATTATTATGTCTATTTTTTATTATTAGTTAATTAATTAATTAGAATTATTTTTTAAAAAATTTAAATATGACCTAATTATTTTAATTTATTATGTTATAAATGAATAAAAACTAAAAGTTTATAATAAATGTTAAAATTGAAAGACTAACTTCATAATTTGCTTAATATTAAAAATTTAGCTCTATTAAAAACCAAAAACTATATCCACTCAAAGCAAAAAAAAAAAAAAAAAGCTAAAATTTTCATTTTATTATTTTTTTTTTGTTTTGATGCCTATAATTTTTATATGCTCTGAAATTAAATTTTTTTATATGGTCTAAAAATTATAAATTTCAAAAATATGTAAGTAAAAATATTAACAATAAATCTAAAAATCAAAACCCCAATTTACTCATGGAGATGTTAAGCCCTAATTTTTGGAGCCCAATCATAAATGGATCTAACAATAACCTCAAGGCCTTCTTAGAAGCCTCCCATATTCATGGGCCTTGAAAAGTCAGTTTATAAATTTTTCTTAATCTATATCCAGTTTTTTGTTCAAAAATTTATATCTGACATATATTAATTAATTTTCAATAAGACAAACTCAAATAGTATCATATCGATCTAGATAAAAATAAAATAAAAAATTATCCGAAACTTAAGCTGATTCAGCATAACCCCAAGTGAAAATAGTTGGTATATGAGTATTTTCATGTGTTATTATTATGAGATTATGTTATGATTGATTTGTATGTCATACTATAATATATATATATATATATAAATTTTCCAAGAAAAAGCATAACATGCAAATGTTTTCTTCTAATTTGATTCTTTAACAACATCAAAGCTTATTTCAGAAAGACTTGTTTGTAAGTAACATACATAAAATACAATTAACAACCAGCAAGCTACTGATCATCTTACCACTACTCTACTACTAATCTTCATGTTAACAGCCATCCATGGAGTACTAAATCAAGCCATTGAGAGAATTGAAGGATGGAGACTCAGTTTCTCCGATTGCTGCATAACTTGAGTCTTTGAAGATACATCCGAAGACCCGAAACAGAAATACTGGCTCCTCAACTTCTTGTTCGCAGTGCCTTGCTTCTCGGAAATCTCCGGTTTTTCATCACCAAACAATATTTGGTTTATTGAGGAAGATGGTCCTGCAACATTCGTGTCCACGAAAATCCCCTTTTGTTTTTCGAGTGAACAAGGTGAGGATACCGATGACTTCGAGAACGAACTTGACCGAGAACGACCTGGAACTGTCAAATGAGGCATTGCTTGCATGACACCCTGCACTATCCCTGAAGCAAACTTTTTCTTGGCATTTGGACTTGATTGAGTACTCCTCACGGCAAGTGTCCTCTTGTTGCTTGCGGGAGAGGAAGGCTTCGAAAATCTCTGTCGAAGTGGAGTTGGTGCCTCGTCTGAACTGTACTTCTTGAGTGACTCTAGAGATTCTATGGATTTCTTTGATTTCTCATGCTTCTTCTGTTTCATCCTAGGCCAATGCAGAACACTTTTCAATCGATGAGCTGCAGCATTTATGGGGCCTGATTTCTTGTTATTTGATGGGATTTGATTGGTGTCAAATTGACATGGATCAGTCAAAGGCGAGCTCATTACACCACTTCCCTGATCAGCACTGCCATCCGATACAATCTCCAATCCGGTATAGAGCAGAATTTCAGTATCAGAGATTCTGAACGAAGTTCCAGGACTGCTTCCGTTGCCTTGCATCTTCAAGTGGGATGCTATAGCTCTCCTTGCAGTATAGTCTTGACAACCAAATATTCCTCCTGCCGAAATCAATTGCC